GAAAGACTTATATTTTCATCAAAATATGTGACTACATGAATGAATTTGTCTCCCTCTAGTAACATACGATTTTTGTAGCCTTAGACTTCTATGTATATAAGTCTTATGTCATCTTAAATTTAAAATATGTCATATATAAAATAAATTTGTATCTCATATACTTTTGGAGTGATAAAAATATTTTTTTAAGTAAATTCTATTTTTTTCAAGACAAGAAAATACACTTTTATTATCTTATGAGAGTACAAATGAATCTTAAATATGAAGCCTTTAAAATAAGAGATTTGAATTTAATCATTATGAATATATTGTTTCAACCACAACCAAAAGTTTAGGAATCAGAACAAAATTTAATGTCTAAAAAAGACATGTTTATAACTGATTAGTAGGTTCCCTGAGATACATAATAGATGCTGTTGTTGGAGGATACTTAATATCTAAACTTTTTTATGAAACCTAGCAATTAATAGAGAAAATGGCCACCAATAATTTTCAATGGCCTGCTGAAAGAGTTACACTCGAGAAAGTAGCTAGTGTTCATGAATCTGATGTCTAACTATCCTGGCCACCCAAGTAGCTTCATTTTCTAAATAAATAAATAGTTTGGTAATGTTTTTTATGCAAGTACATTCACCAATGATGGTTTAATTATTGGACCAATGATAGATCTTACCATCTCTGCCATTGAATTTGTGAATGTCATAGGATATCTTAGTCATAACCCCTATTTCAAAACCTCAACCCAAGACAGGAAAAATCACTCAAATTTATATTGGAACAATAACAACAAATAATGGGGGAATAATTAAAAGATCATTACGATAGTAGGCCCAACAAGGGGAATCATCCTCAAAATTATCAATACCCATCATGATTCTAAGCTAACTCCCAACCGACTCGAAAGAAGTTACATATAAAGAAGCTGGTCATTCAAATGAAGAATATCATATAAAGCCAAGATGTAGCCATTAAAAGGCTAGAAACTCATTAGGACAACTAGTGAACTCAAAGAACATCAGACCCCCAAGAACACTATCCAGTAACATAGAGGTAAATCCAAAAGACCATAATTTTAAGCAGTGTAAAGTAGAAAAGGGAGATGGATGTCTAAATGATAGAACACTTGTAAAGCGTGTCTTAGGAAAAGTTTCATCTGTCATTCTGATTACCCCCTTGAGAGACTTCCTTCTCTATTCCTGCAAAGACTACAATAGCCCAACAAGGACCCTGGTAGTTTCACCATTCCTTTTACCATAATAACTTAATTTTAAGGACAAGCATTTTGTGAATTAGGAGCCAGTGTCAATCTCACGCATCTGAACATTTTTAAATAACTTGAAAGAGAAGAAATTAAGCCTATGAATTTGACACTTCAGTTAGTTGATAGTTTTTCTTTTACTGTGGATAGGTTCACCATTCCATATGATTTTGTGATCTTAGATTTAAAAGTTGATAAAGAAATGCATGTAACTTTTGAGAGACCGTTCTTAGCCAATAGAAGGGCTATCATTGATGTTTTGGAGGGAAAGGAAATTTTTTGTGAACATGATCAAGCAGTTACATTTGATGCTTTAAAATCATCAGACCTTCCCCAAGTTTATAGGAATGATCTCATTCAAAGAGCTAGAATAGTTGCTAAGGGAGTAAAAAATAATTTCTTGAATCGAATGATTTACACCCGGAAGAGCAAATGAAAATTGAAGAATTTTTGGGGAATTTGACTGGCGATGTTATTACCCTCCCGGTAAGAAAAGTCCAACATCCAGGGTTAGGAGAATAACTTAGTATGTCTCATTGAATTACAATGATTATCTGATTGAAATTGAGAGGTCATTACAAAACCTCCACGGATGGAATGAACAAAATTGATATGGGTAGGATGGACTTAAGAGAGTGATGTCACTTAGAGGGGAGAGGGAAATTTTGGAACAATCTAAAACTAAGATAAGTGAACAAGGATTATTGAGCTGGAACTTTGATCTAGAGACCCAGTTTGAAGATGATGCCTAAGACTTTATCTGGTTGAGGACATTAAGCCAAGCGTTATCTAGGGAGGGACGGAAGTGTTACTGATGTATTGATTTTGTTTTTACCTTTTTTGTACCTGTTTCAAAATTTGATTTAAAATTTGTTTTGAAATTTACTTTGAAATTTGCTATAAATTTTCATTTAGATTAGTTTTGATTCCTGTCCCTCTACAGAGTAGTTAATCCCCTATGGTAGTGTAGGAGTTGAGAACGTCAATTTTTGTATCCGCTACACTTTTGTACTTCTTTTGATTAATTCATTGTTACATATTTTACATAATTTTATTATGAGATTATTGAGACTACACATATATTTACCCTTTCTTGTGCTTACTTGTTGTATCCATATTTACTTTTATCTGCATTACATATGTTATGAAAAAAAAACAAGTTTGTGGAGGAGGAATATTTACCTTTTTACAAACTTGAAAGTATTTTACTGAGCTTAGTAAATGATTCAAGATTAATAAGGTAACTCTTGCTAAGAATTCTAATTTATTCAAACTGCTTTTCAAAGTTGATTAAAAGAGGATAAATTTCATTTAGGAAAGTTTATTCTAAATAATTAAATAATAAGGTTCAAAATTTAACAAATTTGAATTTACTTAAGGAAATCTATAGATTATTAAAAGAGTGTAATTTAAATAACAATTTATTCAAACTGCTAATTTGTTCAAAATTACTAAAGAGATTCTTGAGACTACTCATATAATTACCCTTTTTTGCACGCACTTGTACCCACATTTACTTTTATCTGCATGTTAGATATGTTATGGAAAAAAAACAAGTTTATGGAGAAGGAATATTTACCTTTTTACAAACTTGAAAGTATTTCACTTAGCTCCGTAAATGATTCAAGATTAATAAGGTAACTCCTGCTAAGAATTCTAATTTATTCAAACTGTTTATCGAAGTTGCTTAAAAGGAGATAAATTTCATTTAGGAATGGTTATTCTAAATGATTAAATAATAAGGTTCAAGATTTAACAACTTCAAACTTACTTTAGGAAATCTATAGAATATTAAAAGAGTGTAATTTACATGGTCAGTAGCAACCCAAAGATGATTTTAAATCTTTCTCAGTTCATTTAAACAAATTTAATTTTTAATGAAAAAGACAACCTAAAAGTGTAACTTGAAATATCAATGTTGAGATTTATTGCTTAAGGAACACTGCCTTTCACCATAATTAAAATTAGAAATGGAAGACATTGTCAACCTGATATAGTAATTCTCAAAAGAAAAAGTAAACGAAAAAGAAATAGAAAAGAATACGAAGTCAAGTAATATAAAGTATTGAGAAGAAGCTTGATGTTGGCAAAACAAAATCTAGTAAAAAAGGAAACCAGAAGGGTATTAGTGGAACTTAAGCGTAAAATTTTTCATAATTCCTTAATGAAACACCTTGAAGTTATCTTCAAAGGATAAAAGTTAAGGAAATTTAAGTTGGCTAACTATACTGAAATTATTTTAAAGTCATTCAAAGTTTGTGAAAAAGACTTAAAATAACACAAAATTATGGATCTATGGAATTTTCTTAAGGAGAGAATGAAGGGAAATAAGGAAGATTTCTTATGAATCTTGTATGAGAGGAAGGAGTGCTGCAACAGCAGAGAAAATAATTTCTTATAAGTTTTACTTGTTTATGTTTCTTACAAAGAATTTCTTAATTGTTTTCCGTGTAATCGTTTTCTCTGTGATGTTTGGCTAAATTCTTCTTCGTGACTCTGCAATGTATGGGATATTCGATTTATTGTGGTTTTTCCGTAATGTTTTCTCCTTCAACGTTTTGTTCAAGCTTTCATTTTTTTTGTTGCTGGTTAACCTCCGAACTTAATTTACCTCTAATCATATGAAAGTTAATCTAGTCTTGTTGTTGGTTAACCACATAATTTCATTGATTCAAGAGAGACATAATCCAGTGGAATTCTGCAATCATTCAAGTGGATCGAAGAAGTCACGGTCATGGAGAATGCCATGATGATTGAGAAAGCCTCAACTTCATGGATTCTAGGATTTCTTTGACGTAGACACAGGCATAAGAAGTACTATGTCCCTGATTTACAACAATCATATAGGAAAAGCACGATAGCCACAACACTCGAATCACAAAGGCACAAAACTCAAAAATATTGAAGGAATCTCAAAATCTTTCCGTTGTTTATGTTTCTGTTGTACTCCCCTTGCTTTGTTTTGCTAGAACCTAAGATTTAAAACTATCTTTGTGATCATGCTACACTAGATTAGCTAAATTAATAAACTAAAGATTTTTCTGTGGAAACAACTATAAAACTTTCTCTGTAGGGTCGATATGTGGTACTTTTTAATCGCATTACCACTCGACACGTGCTTGCATTGTATTGTAGACTTGGCGTGCGATAAGTTTTAGAAACAAATCATCTGCATGAAAAATAATTGTGCTTTTTAAAATTTATTTTTCTTGACTATCAAATTATTACCGTTGCCTTGAATTATAATATTATTACTATCATAAGTTACATTATTGGCTTAATCTTACTGCATATAATGAATTATAACAATAAAAATATCAATGAATTTATTTATTTATAAGCCAACCTTCATATTATATAGGCCCGTGCATTTATTATTCTAAATCAGGGAAATATGCATACATATCACATAAATTCTTATATATTTACGTTACTTACACCCAAAGTTTGATATTTAATCTTATAACAAATTGATTTTATAAAACTACGCATGCAAAAATTTTAAAAAGATGGTGATTGCGATATTTTTTTGTGTGATATTAAAGATTTGAGTTGCATTCATGTAAATATGAATGCTTAGGTGCTAGATATATAAATACTTAAAAATTGCGTGGCATGTTTCTAAATACCCCTATAAATTATTTTTATTGCTATCGATTCTCAGGCCTTCGTTTAAATATGCATGGGCGAAGCAAAATGTTTTTGCTTCTTTAATCAAATTGCGTTACTAACATATTACGGGCATTAGCATTCAACCGGACGACACTGCATGATGGCACAATCTGCTAAAATTTTGAGAAAGCATTCAAAGAAGAATCATCTGAAATAAAGAAAATAAAATGCCACAAATAACACGCATTATATCAAACCCATCTTCATCTGTGGTGTAACTGAGATCATTGTTTCCGCCTCCTTACAGCATTATAAAGAGGTTGAAGGGGCCATTAGTTCCTGAACAGATAGAAAAACCTGTCATCATCACAACTAGCTATTTAGCCCACAACAGTTGCAGAAATATGATGATCCTTTCCAGCAACCCAAAGAAATGAATCCATTCCAACTGCAGCAGCAGTTTGAGCAGTTTGGCTTCTGGATTCTAATACTGCAGCAACAATTTGCTGTGAAAGTAGTAGTACTTTTGATATCAGCTCCAGGCCTTCGAATAGAACGGCGCAGCTTCTTAAGCCTTTGCACTGTGGTAACATTTTCCATCTCCTTGATGAACTGGGAGAGGTGGACAATGTAGTCAGGGTAGAGCTCGAGATTGCAGTGTGTACCACCTTTGATCCACAAGGGATCGTAAGGCTCTCGAGCCAACTGCCACAGCTTATTTCCATGATGCCAGTTCACAACTTCATCATCAGTTCCCTGGACATGAGCAGACAGTTCAGAATTATGATTAAGCAAATAAGAAGACAAAGATCAAGCAAGTTCTAGCTTTGCACGACACTGTTGCACTAGTAGTTAGGCAAATTAGTGGAGTATTTGAAGGAGTTATGTTTGGTTACATATGTTATATAAAATAGCGTTTCTATCCAAACAATATAAATGACATTTTAAAGTTATATTTTGATGACATCTAGATGCCAGCCTGATGCAGGTCTGTCCCCACGATCCCTGTGTACACGAGATCGAGATCAGGATTGGGATGAAATCCCTTCATTGGAGATATAGTAGGAGAATCTCCCGGCTACTGGCTGCTGCAAGCCTTTGTGAGCCCAAATTTTATATTATATTGTATAAAAATAGGATTATTCTGTTTGGGAAAATTTAATTTGTGTAATTTATATATTGTTTCTCTCGTTTCAACTTTGAAGAAGTGTTATATCATTTTCTTCATGCAAGTGGTGTGTATTTACAAGGTGGCAAATCCCTTGTTGTTCGTGCTTGCCAATATCACTGCTTCGCTGTGTTTTCTGCCGTCTTTCCCCCCATCCAACAGCCGTCATTATCCTTTTGTCCTCCAAACAACAGAAACTTTGTATATTCTCTTTGTCTTGCCTTTCTATAACATCTCACCACTATATATGATCCTTTTAACAACTTAGAAGGGATCCTAGAATGGCTTTAATTCATATCAGAGCTAAACGCTAACTTCAATTCCCAATTCTAATCCTAAGCCGCCCAACCTTAGATATACAATCATACCAAGGAGCAAGTCACCATGTTGTCAATGGGAAACCCTCAATGAAGTGTTCAGGAGCTTGATATGGAAGATATGCATTGAAAAATCTTCCAATTGTAGCAAAGACGTACAGATTTGAAAGAAGGCAATATGGGAAAGTCGCCCATAACAACAATAATAATCAACCGGATGAGGAATTCTCCAACTGCAACAGAGACATGTTTATTTTGAAAAGTAAACACAAAAATCACTCATAACAACAGCGGTAACCACACAGATAAAAGAGATGATGAAAAGGAACCCTTTCATCAAGAAGCCTCAAGGAATAAAGAACTAATGCTGGTTATTTCAGTGTTTAATATAAAAGGAGAGAGTGATTTTGGAGTGAAGTTTGATTGATTTGCCTAATTTTAACAATAGTATAGATTCGGATGAGTTCATTGTGGACTTTAGATAGTGGAATTGGTATTCTGCGTACAAGGACATTCCACCGAATGGAAGGGTAAAGCTAGCAACCATTAAATTAAAGAATAGTGATTTCCTCTAGTGAAAAAACTTGAAGCGCTTGCGCCAGCGTGAGGCAAAAGGTAAAATCATGACCCGATCCAAGTTTAAAAAAAAATGTAATGCGAGTTACCTCCTAGCACACTAACAACAACAACAACAAAAACTTTATCCCACTAAGTGGGGTCGGCTACATGAATCCTTTTTCTCCATTGCATCCTATTAAGTGTCATATTTTCAGTTAATTCTAATAAATTAAGATTACTTTATATACAATATGCCCAAGTCATCCTAGGTCTACCTCTGTCATTCTTAACATAAGTTGAATCTAAAACATCTACTCTTCAAATCGGATCACAAGATGGTCGACGTTTAATATCACCAAATCATCTAAGACAAGTCACTCTAATTTTTTTCATCAAATTAATATATTTTTGAGACTTCACGATTTGCAGCAAAATGGCCTATCAATAAGGAAATACATTACTAAGCTTTTTTGAAAAATTTTCGATTAAAAATAAGCTCTAGTAGCTTTCATTTGAATACAAGATCAAATCATTTAGAGTTCGTTCTTAGTAGAAAGTTGTAACTTTTGTAAGCCTATTATATTTTATCCCGAAGCTGATTATATTGTTCCTGTCTTAAAATCAATTTCAGAAAAGATACATAGAAAACTCCAAAATTTATAACTCTCTCCTAATCCTAATTAGACATCCTCCATTTCGATCCATCTTTAATATCATGATATTTTGTTTACTATGGATAAAGTTCCCAAGGGTTGAAGTTAAAGATCATGTTCTCAACAAAAATTCAAGATCCTCTTTCTAGGCTACCAATACCTCAATATATCTTCCACTATTCAATTGGGCTCAGTATTTCCCCTACACACTTCTACCACCTTAGAAGCCCATTTCGTTGTTCATTGAACATAATTGATCAAACATATACACCTCACACAAATTTTGATATCAGAGGAACAAGTTGGACATCTAAGAAGGTTGCAACTAGTTGAGACTACAATACTTAGAAGCTCAGAGAATGTATTTGGATATTAAGAAACTCATTTGTATACATATTATTATTAGGTTGTATATTTGCATTTTTGGCAAAAACATATTTCCATCATAGTTTTAATAGAATTTTTCTTTGAAATAATGTCTCAATTTAAAGAGTATCATCACTTTATAAAGGAACTTAAGAATTCACTGATCAAGTTGAAAGCCAAATATCAAAGTAATAATTTTTGCATGCCAATTAAAAATAACACAAATGTTTAACTACATGAAAAAATCATGAAATATTTTTTAAAACAACTGTCATAACTTTAACCCACCAATCATCACCATATGTTTTTAATGACTATTTCTACATATAAGTTACCTTGTAGTAAAACCTTATGGTAAAAATGCTCATATGATCATTCCAATAATAGTATAAACTAGCAAATACTTTTAAGCTAACTCATTTGCAGAAACTAAAAGACCACCCTTACCATGGTGACATGATTATTCATCTACAACTACAAACATTCCGCCCCCTTACTTCATATCATAACTGTCCAGAGAAACACAGTATTGTCTGAAAGGAAAATTTGAAGCTATTATGAAGATACCAAAGACAACATTTTATGTTTATTGTTATATTTATTTTAATTTATATATGTTGTCTGATAAGTGTGCAAAATAGTGTGAATATATGATATTTTTATAATATTTCTGTCCTATTTTACATTTTTTTATGATATATTCTGTCGGTGTGCATAATACAGGCGGAGCACACCTTTTAGAGGACAACTGCAATTTTTAACAACATGCTAGCATCAAATACATAGCGTCGTGGCGCTTGTTTGATAGCACCCCAAAGCCGATGTAATCGTGCCACAATGCCCTGAGAGGTATTTTTAATGTTAAAAAACCTAAAAGCAAGATGTTACAGCACCCGAAGTAAGTTCTCCAAGGTTCTCCGACCCCCTGAAAGGCAGTGCATGCGCCCAAATAAAAAATTAGGAATCAGAGATCACGAAACGCAATGCTCGGATCCAACGCCTTCTCTCCCTATAGTAGCAACGAGTGCCACATAATTAGGGTTGTCAAAAAAGCTCGTTGTTCGCGAACAGCTCGTGTTCGACTCGTTAAGCAGCTCGTGTTCGGCTCATTCGTTAAGCCTAACGAGCCGAACACGAACAAATTTTTAAGCTCAAAATGTAAACGAGCTGAACACGAACAACAGTTTGTTCGCTCGTGTTCGACTCGAAATGACTCGAAAAAAAATTTATATAACTTTTTATATAACAATATATTACATATAGTATATATATTTATGTCTAAGTTTAAATCATATCACCTCATGTGGCAATGTAGTTAGTGTTTTTTTTAGTATATATTTGATCCAGATTCGAATCTCACACTTTACATCTATTTTTCTCAATTTAAGTTTAACGAGTCAATTTCGAGAAGAACACGAGCCGAACACAAACACAAATATTTAAATCGAGCAAAACATGAACACATTGTTTGCGAGCCGATTTCGAACACGAGCTATCTCGAACGAGCCGAACACGAGTCAAGCCTGAGCTCGCTCAAGTTCGGCTCGTTTACATCCCTACACATAACAACGTCTTTATTGCTCAGCACTAACTTAATTTTGGGGGTTCCAGTGACGATTTCGCCCGATTCCTATATTAAGGCTTATTTGGGATGACGAAGAGGATGTTTGACAAGCATTTGGAGTCTTTAGCATTTTTTTGTGCATTCTTAATCTAGGGTGGAGTTAGATCTTATATTGAGCAACATTTGCAAAGAAAGCAAGTGAAGGACTTATTTGGAAAAGAAAGTGCATAGGAAAATGATAGTATTATGTGATTTATCTATACAATTATTTTTCTTGTGGACTCTATTTTGTTTTCAATGACAATGCATGTTATCTTTACACTAATCATGTGGAACTAAATAAGTAATTTATTTGAGTTGGTCACTTAAAAGTCACGTGAATCCATGTTAGATCTAAAGGATATAGAAGTTGAAGTGATGTTTTAACTTTCTAAACCTCATTTACAGTTTAAACGGGCCATTTCGGTTGTTAAAAATTATTATAAACTTGGACTATCGTAACAAAACTAATAGCACAACTAAATTAAAACACAAATATTTTATGGAATATGAATATTGTCAAATAGTGTTTGAAATCAATTTAGGGACATATGGAATCTTAGAATCTTTGCAGAGTTAAGGGAACTTAACTTTACTATGAGATTCTAATGCTTGATATGTCTCATAAGAGAATCAGAACTAAATTTATCCCTGATTGACAACTGCTTTAAGAAAATCTCACGGATAATTATTAAATGTTGCATGAACTAATTCAAAAAAATTAATCAAAACATTAGAGCACATTTGCCCCTTTAGATTAGGCACTTTTAAATTATGAACTTTTAGAAAAAAAAATTATAAATCAAATCCTTTAAAATAAATTGAAAATTAATAATTTGGTAATTAACTATTTTTAGATTCAAGTTGTTCTCAATGAAATCGATAACACAAACTCAAAAATCTAAATATTACTTGATCGACATGTATACTTGCATGATTGATATATGTATTATTGCACTACAGAACATTGTCAAATATTTTTTTGTTGGTTGTAAGCAATTGGGTGTGATAACTTGATCTTTTAAGATGTTTTATGTTATTTAGGAAGGACAATAACAAAAGGGACTTAATATTTATTTAATTAATAAACT